CCCCGCACAACATGATCTACTCCACCACCATTATGGTTACCGCCAAAAAAAACAACGGAGGTGAAAAAAAACACGGTAACCTGGTTGCCGAGTTCACGACGTGAATTGGCTTGTTTTACAACGTCGTTGCCAAGCGACGAAAACCCAATCCCGATGGCAAACACCTGGGGGGGCGTGGGGGGGATTCTTGTGAGAAAGGAAAAGTTTTGCAGGGAATATTTAGTCGTATCGTGCGCCGGGGCGAAGGAGCATCTACTACAGAGCGAATGGGTGGCCTTCCTTTTTCTGTGTTCGCGCAGGGCGGAGAATCATCATGCACGGAATTCACCCGAAGGACCTCCGTGTGATAGTAGGAACCCCCCTGGGGCGCACGCAACCGGACAAGAGAACATGACATGGCGTCGTGCATCACACGTTCTGACGCGCCAAAAATTTCTCACGCGTGCACAATTTTTGTCAAGTGAATTTACCTACTTTTTGAAAGCGTTTCTGAAGCGGGCAACCGGGGCGAATCATGGCATACGGCGGTGACTTCCCTCACCCTCCCCAAAAAAACTCCAACCGCCTATATACAACCCGCGATACAGCTTCTATGATCTTGACGGGCGCCAGATCATATGCACGGCCGGATCTCCTTCCACCACTGCAGAAGCACATCGCAATATGGCACGTCGTTCGCCCACCTCCAGCATGTCCAGCCGACCGGCTATTGCCGCCTTGTAGCAGGTGCTGGCGTCCCAGGGGCACCCGTTCGCCCTCAACCACTTGATGGCGTACGCGTTGAACGACAACAATCGAATGGGAAGATAGCGCGGGGGAAATACCAAAGCGAAAGTATTCAGGAGAGATCGAGCACTGAGCGAGTCGTACGCACGATGAAAGATGCGGCTAAATAATGGACGCTGTATGTAACGATAAACGTCGCCAGCCACCAAGTTGCCGGCTGGGAGTCACTGGAGGCCACACAAGCAACAATCATACGTAGGTCCGTGGCCGTCGTCCCGATCGCTGCAAACAATGCTGAAGGTAAGCAAGCGGGTGGGGTCAACACTTGGTTCATCCATCGTGCCACTACAACAGCGAAAAGAAACTTTCAAGCACGCGTAGCTTTCTCGTTCGTCAGTTGCCGGCGATGTTGTGCTTCCACAGCATTGCTCTTGTCCACCTATGGCACGAAACACGTTGTCATGGAAAAAAAAAAAAACGCTGTCTTCAACGACACGCGTCTACTGATTCTCGCGTCAAACGTGCAAGGTGATGGTCGCAGCAGGAAACCTTACTCTTCTGTGTGGACCCCCCGGTCGGTACCTAAGCATGCGCGTAGGACAGCATCGACCGGACTGTCGCCTAGACCCAGGCGCCTCTGGAATCGACGAAAATGACAAAAAAAAAAAAAAAAAAAAA